TTTGAGGGAAACCCCTAAGCAGAGGCTCTGGATTCCAGGCAAGGAAGTCAGAATGGGGGAATCTAAAAGACGGAGGCTACGCCTATGCAAAGCAGTCCTTGTCCCTGAAGGGAGTGGAAATAACCATGAACTTCAGAAAATAGACAGTGAAGAGAAAGCAAAGTTTAAAAGGCTTAACTTGGCAGCATTTGTATTTTGCCTGCAAAAGTATTATGGAATTATTTATTGAAAACAAGCTAAAGATGACAACCTGGTCGTTTTAGTTAAGTCAATCTTTTCCACTTTCTGGATAAACTCAAAATTAGCAAAAAGGAGCCTGTTTACAGGAATTAATCCCAGTGAACTCTTATTTCCTGTCTCCTTCTGCTGATAGGATACAATGCCCACTTATGCCTGGAATAATCAACAGTACACTATATTTAATAACACATTTAATAAAGATATATTCTTAATAGCAAGTCCTCAAAGGTTTTACCTTTTTCCAGTCTTCTGAAGGAATATAATCTTCATCTTCCTCAGATTCTTCTTCTATTTCACTGTCTAAAGAAATTTTTCAGACATTATTTACATGGGAAGTACTACCATAAATCCTGTTCAGGCCAACATTATATGCCAGTAAAGTATGTCTTGAGACAGACTGCTCAAAGCCATTGCGGCTGGCTATTTGGATCTTGAGCTGTGACGTCACAACCACCTTTCTGTGAATTAACATACGGCTGGGATCTCAGTGAGGAGCAAAACAGGAGACCACCACAACTTGGTCTGTCTTCCAGTTGAAAGACATCCCATTGTGCCTTAGAAGAAAAAGAACAGCTAATGTGCTTACCCAGAGTGGTTAAATATCCTGTTAATTGGAAAGACAGCGAACAGGAAAAAGGTTGTAAGTTTTTAAGATGCAAATAAGTGAACAGTATCTATTTTTGGGCCTCAGCATAAGACTTAATTCCCCTTCATCCAACTCTACCTGTATAGACAGACAATTGATCAGGTACAGTTTTCTGCAGGCATGCCAGTGTCTTCAATGATTACACTGAAACATAGGTTCTCCTTACTTTCAACATAACTGGCAGGCTGCTAGGCTAGTCACCCTCATTTCATTTCAGATCCTGTATCCATCACTGGCTTTTCTCATCCTTACAGCAACACTGCCACTACTGCCAGCCTCTGTTGAACTGTTTGTACACTAGAGCACAACATGTGGGTCACTCCAAATCTAGCTGTTACATACTCGGGCACAATGACATTTAAAAGTGCTGGACTTCACAGTGCACTCAGCTCAGCTAGCCACGAGTAGTGCATTGAGAAAGCATATTCCTTAATACCTGTGACATTTGGTATTGCATTTGCTATACTGAATTTAACATTTTGGGGTCCTTAAGTCAGGATGTGTCTCTCTAAGGAATGTTGGATAAGAGTCTGTATTAGGGACTATCATTTGCATGGTGTTGAAAGTAGCCACATTAATGTAAGCACGTGAGGATCAGGTAGTAGAAAGACAGACACTTTTATTAAATGCAAATTAGCATTCTGTTAAACACTGGCAGAGGAACCAAGGACATCTGTGTTAGATAAACATTAAAAGCAGAATGTTACTTAGATTGTAAGCTCTTTGGGGCAAGGGCTGTCTTTTTTTGCTGTGTTTATTGTGTGCCTAGCACAAGTCCTGGTTCATGACGGGCTCTCAGGTGCTACCGCAATCCAAATAATAAACTTGAAAATGACATTTCTAATGACATAACTAATGATGCAGATGTGAAGAATTTTAAATGTTAATTTCCTTTATTTTAAAGCACTGGGTATATGGAGCTATAAACAACCTTTAACTATAAGGTTGTAATGTTTGTTGTAAACATATAGTTTACAACAAACAAACATATTGTAAGACTCCAAATACACCTCTACCCCGATATAACATGGCCCTTGGGAGTCAAAAAATCTCACCGCCTTATAGGTGAGACCGTGTTATATCGGGTTTGGGCCAGTAAGCTGTGCCAGACTGGACCGGCTTTCCCTGGCAGTGATTTAAAGGGCCCGGTGCTCCAACTGCTGTGGGGAGCCCCGGGCCCTTTAAATCACTGCAGAAGCTCTGGCAGCAGGGCTCGTGCGGGGATTTAAAGGGGCCGGGGCTCTCCGCAGTGGCCAGAGCCCCAGGCCCTTTAAATCATCGCCCGAACCCGGCTGCCGGAGCCCCGGGGCTGCCGGAGCCCCGGGGCTG